TATTTATACTGTAAAATGTATCCCAAGGCAGATGTTGGGATTAGAGTGGCTCTTCCAGGAGGGAAGAATGTGAAGTTGGGAATAGTTGGATAATCAGTGCAAATGTCCCTGGATGGAGGAATATTGCTCCTAGAAGGAGGTAATTTTGGGTTTCCGTTCTCTCATAAACACAAGATTTGTCACCCAATATCACACCCATTGGTAAAGGGATTATGTCTATTGATCTATCCTTGGCTATGGGCTCTTGCGCTTCTCCCAGCTGAGCCTCCCAGATCCCCAAATATGGTCCCAGATCTCTTTATATGATATGTCTGTTTCCTTGCACTGGAGAATCATTCACAGCTAGGTGCTTTAGCCAACTTTTTGAAATCAGTTTTACAGTAGCCCCTCCCAATTTGCGGGGGATCCGTTTCGGACTCCCCTGCGAAAATGGCAGCTTGCAAATATTTGAGCCCCATTGAAAAGAATGGTGTTCATGCCCATGGCGTCCACAGGCATGCGCTGCCATTATACCCCTTCTTACTTGTCCCTCCCGCGAAGAGCAGGACCGCAGACTCAAAGTCCGCAAACAGGGAGGCACAACTGTATATTGAAAAGAAGGGGGTGCATAGAGAAGGGGTCTTGGAGTAACACAGTGGAATCTCACTGGGTGACCTTGGGGGAGTTACACACTCTTAGCCCCAGAAACCCTATAAGTTGGAAATGACTTGAAAACACACAACCAAACATCAACAAAACATGTTGTAAGACTGTACTGTTAAGTTGATTTTGTCCATCTTTTCTTTTGCTGCTCCATAGAAAAGAGGCTCTCTAGAGGAATTTCTCACGCCAGCTCAGCAATAGTTTCCCTTGCGCGATCCCATGTGGCCAGCGAATGCAACAATGAGCACTTCCCTCTGGAGATGCCCATCTACACATTCCAGCTCCCTGACCTTAGTGTTTACAGTGAAGACTTTAGGAGCTTCATTGAAAGAGATTTGATTGAGCAGGCAACTATGATTGCGCTGGAACAAGCTGGTGAGTAAGTACTGAAGATGCAGGCTTTTGGATGGCTTTATACTATTCTTGTAACGGGTAGTGGTTTTGTAGTCTTGCAGCAAGGTGCTTGCATCAGAAACAAAGATGTTTTGAATACTCCGTAAAAGAATTTATCTCTTTTGTCTGTAAAGGAATATAATGAGCCTGAAAGCATGCAAGAAACAAAACAAAACAAAACAAAACCCCACAACTATAATGATCAAGGGAGCAATTAGCAGTAATGTCTTCTCCTGATCCAGCCCAATCTTATAGTATACAGAATGATAAGGAGGAGCAGTATCTGTTTTATATAGTAGGGTTTAATTCAAAGACATAGCCGTGTTAGTCTGTAGAATCAATACAGAGAGAGATCTTATAGCACCTTTGAGGTTAAGTGAAAGAAAGAAATTGGCAGCATGAGCTTTCCTAGACTACTTTTTCAGAAGTAGTCTACTTCAGTCTACTTCCTCAGATGCATTATAATAGGGTTTGGTTACGTTCTTAATAGATTAACAAGAGGAAGGGCTAGAAGGTTTTATCTCTAATTATTTATATTTGTACATATATTGCAAATGTACCTTTTTATATGTTATTGTTTTATATGCTATTCTTTTTTAATTTTGGTATCGCCTGGAGGTCTGTTGACTGTAATAAAGGCTTTGTTGTTGTTGTTGTTATAGCTAGTGCTTTCAAAAGCCAATCATCTATTGAGGGCATCTCTCCATTGTCTAGCAAATACCATTCTTGCCACAGTAATCGTATATAAAATTATTTTCAGATATTTTCTGTTTTCGTTGTCTTCATGAACATTTAGGTGATTCTATGTTTTTGTTTTTTGCTCAGGTCGTCTTAACTGGTGGTCTACAGTATGTACGAGTTGCAAACGGCTACTTCCATTGGCAACAACGGGTGATGGAAACTGTCTTCTACATGCTGCTTCTCTAGGTAGGACCCCTGAGATAATACTAGCACAACCGTCTGTTTTAATTTGTATATTTATAATCCACTCGTCTTTTTATAAAGTCATGCATTATATGATACTGGTGGCTTGAGTACAGTACACTAATAAATGGAAATGCTAGGAAATACCATCTCAAGAAGAATGGATAATAAAAATGCTAGAATGGGCAGAAATGGAAAAACTATCCATCACGATTAGAGGAAAATCATCAGACAAAATTTTGAAAGATTGGGATCCATTTATTCAATTTCTTGTAAAAGAAAGGAGGGAAGACAATACTAGTAGCTTTTTGAGTTCTGAAGCATGAAATTGCTGTTCAGCCTTGTAAATATATAAGAAGAAGAAGTGAATGCCATGCATGCTAATGAAGAAGTAAATAAAAGACACATATCCATGTGTTGGGTATGGGGATGTAGGAAGTCATGCATTTATTTACAGAGGGGAGTAATGGAATTGTACTTTGATGGTTTGTGTTGTGGCTTTAGTTTACTGTATATCCTCATGTATAAATCTAGAAATTTTATTCAAAAATTGACCCAAAAAGCCTGAGTCAACTTATCCTTGGATCGATGTAAGTACAGTACTTTAACTCTTGTTTTTTAAAAGGGAACCATCCCTTGAAAAAGGCAAGTGTTTAATATATTTTGGAAGCACTGATCTCCCCCTTTTTCTCTCACCCACCCAGCATTTAAAATAAGCACAAACAGTTAAACAGGCCAAACAAGGGGTCCTAGAGCAGATCAAGCTAGAAACCTCCCTGGAAGAAGCCAAGATAATAAAGCTTAGACTGTTGTCCTTTGGAGACATCATGAGAAGGCATGAATCATTGGAAAAGACAATAATGTTAGGAAAGGTGGAGGGAAGTAGAAAGAGAGGAAGACCACATGCTAGATGGATGGACTCTGTTAAGGAAGTCATGAGCATGAATTTGCAGGATCGAAGCAGAGCAGTGGAGGACAAGGAGTCTTGGAGATGTCTCATCCGTAGTGTCGCCATGGCCTGAGAGTGATTCAAAGGCAGTTAACAACAACAACAAAACCATGGTTCCAATGCCAAATAGCAATAGCAATAGCATTTCTATACCACTTATCAGTGAACTCAGCAGTCTCTAAATGGTTTACAATGTGTAAGCGAATTGCCCTCAACAAGCTGGGAACTCTGTTGTTGTTGTTGTTGTTAACTGCCCTTGAGTCGATCTCGACTCATGGCGATCTGATGGATGAGACCTCTCCAAGAAGACCCTCTGTCCTCTGCTGCTCTGCTTAATTCCTGCAACCCTTTAATACCAAAAATGACCTCCTTCATAGAGTCCATCCATCTGACATGGGGCTTTCCTCTCTTTCTCCTTTCCTCCACCTTTCCCAGCATTATTGTCTTTTCCAAAGAGTCCTCTCTTCTCATGATGTGTCCAAAGTACAACAGCCTCAGTTTGGTCATCTTGGCTTCTTCCAGGGAGTTTTCTGGCTTGATCTGCTCTAGGACCCCT